ACACACACACACACACACACACTCACTCACTCACAATCAATCAATCAATCAATCAATCAATCGATCAATCAATTAATCAATCAATCAATATCAATCAATCAATATCAATCAATCAATATCAATCAATCAATCAAACCTTTTTTTTTTTCAAGTTTTTTGTTTATTTATTTTTAAATTTTGCATCTTTATTTTTCTAAAACATCTCATACTCCTGCAAAAAATAGAAATTCATTTCTAAAAAATACAGGTGAACTCAGGGACCATATATCTGATTATAAAAAAAAAAAAAAAAAATTCCAGTTTTTCTTTATATATATATATATATATTTTAATGGAATTTAGTTTTGATTTTTCAAAAATCCTAAACAAAGTCGGATTCCGAAAAACAAAATATGGGGTTGTAGGGCTTAAAATTCCCTACAACCCCATATATATATATATATATATTTGTTTTTGGGCTATTATTTAATTCAGGAAAAATCTGGTAAAATCAAGTCCGCGGTGCGGACCCGGTAGGCCGTGGAAGCGGCCGTGAATACGTCCGCCCTCCGAGCTCGGCCCCGCGGACGTAGGGTGACGGGGGAGGTGATGGTGGAGGTGATGGTGACGAGGGAGGTGATGGTGGAGGTGGAGAAGACGACAGAGGTTACGGCGGAGGTGGCGGCGACGAGGGAGGTGATAGAGGATGTGGGGCCCGGTGGGGGTGATGACAGAGGTGTCGGCGGAGGCGGCGGCGGCGGTGTCGATGGATATCGTGGAGGAGGCAGTGGTGACGATGAAGGTGATGGCGGTGGCGGGGGCGACGAGGGAGCTCATGTCAGAGCTGGCTGCGATGACGCTCACGACAGAGTTGAGGAGTGTGTGGACGACGGTCCTGTACATGGTTGTGGCTTCGTCTTGAATCGGTTGAGACGCGGGGCTAGACAGGATAACAGCATCGACTCTCGTGTGCGCAAAAGTCGTCTTCAGACTCTTCATAATGCGACCGTTACGAAGGCACGCATCATGCAGCACGAGCATGTTGTCGTGTCTAAGGACTCTCAGAGCGACATGCCGGATGATGACTTCATTCCTGGTGATGCTGACATGAGGGGCGCTGGGCATCAGCCCGGTTTCGTTGAGGCGCCGACCACGTCTGCACCGGCGATGTCAGCACCGGAGGAGAGTGGAGCAAGGTTGACTCATCCTGAGTCACCGACGCGCATTTCAGATATTGTGGACGCACTGGAATCCCATTGCCATCTGACACAACCCACGACCGCGGTTCATGTGGAAGCTCGAGAAAGGGCAGCGAGTGATGGGCGGACAATTCCCGATGGAGGAGGGAATGTGCCACCTCCTTCTACCGTCGTTTGCACGGGCGCCCATGGGGCCCTCAGCGTTGCGGTTGCCTCCATAGGCGAGGTAGCACGTCCTCCCACGGTAGACGTTGGTTTGGAGGACGGAGAGGTTGCATGTACTCCCACTTGTGCCCATGAGGGAGAGGATGCACGTCCTCCCACTGTCGACCATGTTGGCCTCGCCTGGCCCACTGGCAGTCTTCCCCCCACCGCCGAGTTACTCGCTATGGAGTCGGCCTTGGATGGTCTGCCTGACGTATCGGCTTTGATATCTCCCACTTTGGCATTTGTGGCACGACCAGAGACTGCTCGGGCAGATGACACGGATGAATTGTCTAGAGGATTCCACGAGTTCGCCAGCGGCACGATACTGCATTCCGGAGTCTCTGGCACTCCCGCCGTTTTTCATGTGGGAGCACCGCACGCGGTGGACCAGGGTTTGACGGAGCAGGTGGCACGGAACCATCGTGGCGGCCCGCGCGTCGCGACACAACGCAGTTTAGGGGATTCATTGGAGAGAGTGTTCACAGAGTACACAGGAGGGTCATTGTGCGCAGGATCTCGCAGGCGACGGGTCATCATTCTCGGCAGGGCCTCAGGGAGACCCGCACCCAGACCCGCCACATTCGGCGTAGGAGACGGTTCTTGAAGTTGTCGGCTTGGGCGGCGGCAAGGATATGCGGCAGGATCTTGCACGGACATTGGCCACAGATGGTGGCGTGCCTGGCGTCAGCACTGGTAGGGACCACGAGCACAGAGGGTCATCGGCCGCACAGTCAGGCGCTGACGGGCCCATCACACGTGGTGTTGGAGGCGGGCACGCAGGTCACGCTCGACCGCATCTCATGGTGATGCGTTCAGCACCCTCGCACCCCCATGGCGTCGACCCTGCCGCCCAGGGTTTGGCCGTGAGCACCACATTGCCGACGGTGTCGTTCTATGACGACGTGACTAAGGACCGAAGGGCGGGTGACGAGGGACACATGTGCTTGCGGGGATGCGATCCATAGGCCGCGTCGACGGTGGTTGTTACGACTCCATGAGAGCATACGAGGAGCGACATAGGAGACCTTTGCGGACCAAGACAACGGATGTCCACGACACCAGGACGACAACTGCGAGGTTATCTCGAGCGAGGAAGAAGGGGACAGGTTCATTGATTCCATATCACCGTCGCCGTCCACAACCTACTCTTCACGCTAGAGATCCGACCAGACAGATTCCGGCGAGTGTCGGGGCAGTGGCGGAGGGAGGGACAGGCGTCGGAGGCTCAGCAACCATTTTGTTGAGATCGGAGCGTGCACATGACACACTTCACGGCAGTGCAGCTGAAACAACCCTTGGACGTAACGGCGTCGACCGTTCAGGGCGAGTCGAGAAGAGACGAGGCGATGTGGTCATCTACCATGACGACAGTTCCACAGCCGCGGAGGCTGGAGAGACCACAGGCGCCGACGATCCGGGTGACTCCAATTACATGCCCAGGGGCCAGGCGGCGGATGGAGATGATGGCATAGGTCGGCGTGTCAGGCAGAGGACAAGACTCGGCCCGCACGAGCAGGGCACGCCATCGACCCCTATACCGCCTATTGATCGACGCGCACAAGCTCAGTCTGTGTTGGCCGAACTGTATCATTACCGGTATGAGCCTCTGAGGTCTCATAACTCGCATGGTACAGCAGGATAGACTGTTTGTACAGTGTCTTCGTTTGTCGGAGCATTTTGGTAGTTGACACTTCGTTGTAGCGTTGTTGCATATGCACGAACTGGACATGGGACAGCTGTTGTGCAGCAGATGACAGGCATAGCCAGACCTTTGGAGTAGGGTGCAGGTGACGAGATGCAGGCAGACCTCTGCAGACCCCCCTAAAACCCGCCACCAAGTTGCACCAACACCCCCAATCCCCAGAAGCGGTTAACAGGGACCCTCACTTTTCAGCCCTAGTTAACCCCCTCAACCCTAAAAAGTGCATTGAAGATCTTTTTTAGTTTTTTCTGTTTTTTTTCTTTTGCACCGTTTTAATTTTGGTCAAGGTCTGTGTGTGCCAAGTTTGGTGTTTGTTGCGGTCTAGGAGTTGACTGTTTTGGGTAGCCCTGAAAAATCCTGAAAAATCCTGAAAATCCTTTTTTTTTTTTTTTTTTTTTTTTTTAATAA